TGCCAATAAAAAAAACTTTATTTTTAAGAGTGTATGAAACCTTTCCATTCCACAAAAGGTTCTTCATAGTGGAAAATGTTTGTCAGATTATTTAAAAAATGGTTCTTTTAAAAACTGTTCACTTGAAGGGTCTTTGGAGAACCTAAAATGGTTCTTCTATGGCATTGCTGTGAAAAACTCTTTTTGGAACTTTTATTCTTAAGAGTGTAGAGCGTAGCCCTTCTGTTTAAGTTAGATGGATGATTTTATTTCTCTCAGACCATTCTGTCTGAATCTCTTGGGTTGACCAATGAAAGCCTTTATTAGATGAATGACCCTTGCTGGAAATGGAATTTCATTAATCTCTCTTTAATGTATGTCTTCCTCTAATGTCCTTACGTTATAAATTGCATGCATCTAAAATCAAGCTAAACGCTAACCTCATTTGTCTCTGGGTTATGGTTTATAAGATGAGCTCTTAAAATATCCAAATTGAATTATGGATGGAGCATATTGCCTCATGACTTCTTACAAACCGCAGACCTCTTACATCGTATTTTCCTTTTCTGAGATGTTAATTTCAGTGTAATTCTTTATAGAACGCATATGGTGATAAATTCTTCCTACGATGATATTTTAGTGTCTTGGAAGCTATTGCAAAAAAATGCTAAAAAGTTTACATTAAACTCATATATCTTTGCAATCGTCATATTTCCAAGACATACCAAATAGCTGATGAGGCTATTTTCCAAATTTCAGATACAGTGCTTTGTAAATTTGGTCCCGCTGTCAACGATTTTAAGTAGGACACGTGTCTTAAAGTCTGCCTTTTGAATTCGCGTTTGTGTCCATAGTGCATTAAATCCTAGAGAGATCACGCACAGAAAAGCCCTTGTGCCAAAGGCCAGCCTGTGGCAGTGATCCCACACTTGATCCCCAGAGTAATATTTCTGAGAAATCTTAAATGACACGATGTTGTCCTAAGGCATGGGACAGAGCTTTAGGATTACAGTAAAAAAGCAATATTTTGCAATAGGACACTGTTTATGTTGCCACAGGTAACCATAGGTGATGTAATGGAGTTGAATAGTCAAATATACCGGCATTTACCATCAGCTGACAAGCATTAAACTCTCACTGAATTTCCTGGAGACCTCATTTGTCTTTGGGTTTAAAGAGAAGTTAAGTTTAAGTTTAAAGAGAAAGTCATTTACACACAAAATAATATATTTTAAAGTGTGTTTCAACTGATTTTGTTTATTTTGAAAATAAACGTGCCCAAAACAACATTGGACCCAACTGACTTTCTTTGTATGGACATAAAAGACTTAAAGTTTCAAAAGTAATTTGTGTGCTAGTTAATGTTGGTCTAGGTCTGCTCTGAAGAAGCTAGTTAAGAAGCCAAACACAACATCTGTTGTTACCCAACTATGCTGGTCTTCTCAGCACCTAGAGTTTATTTTCTCCAGTTAATACTGACATTATTTCTCTAACTGACCTGATTTTATTTATACTTTGCTTTTTGTGTGTTCCCTACACATTTCCATCGTGAATGCAAACAGTATGTAGGCCATTTTGTGACCCACACAGATGTGGGTCATTTTGAGTGGACGAAGAAAATGGACACCATTCTCTTGCTATTCAAAGTCAAAGGCGTAGCCTGGGGGCAACTTTGCATTTCGTGCATCAAAAGAATAAACATTAAACAAAAGGTTTGATGACTAAACCATGCCTTTGTCAACAGTCCATTTGCAACAGAGTACACAGCTTTGACGTAATGATATTCAGGTTAACGCCTACACTCATTAACCCTAAAGAGTCTTAAAACTAACCAAGCCACAAATCCTCATAAATTGTCTGGCATTTGCAAAATATTTCCATCATAGGAAGCATTCTTAATGATTTTCCTGTTGACGAATGCTGAAAACAGTAGATGCATTGTTCAACTAAGATGGTTAACCAATGACATCGTCTGTTCTGCAACATATAATGCACATTCAGTGCCCGTACAGCGTGGTTTTCATTAACTGTAAAGGTTCATTGCCTTGACTATTGGAGCTTGTACAAAGGTGGGGAGAAATCACATTCGACTGGATGAATGAAAAGCAGTTAGCAACAAAGTCGAAGAAAATGTACTATGCCAACACAAAGAGATAATCCAACGCATGCTGAGAGCATCAATTTTTAAGTCTAAACACTACAAGAGCACCAGTCAATACATGCTCTGATCGAACAACACTGAGAGTACGGTTTAGCTACTCTATAATGTGGGTTTATTTAGGCTCTCATGCATTGTTAAGAAGTAGCTGCTCAGTGCTTCTGTAAATCACAGGACAGAACCCAGTGTGTGTGTTTATACGGGCACAGAATCAGCCATATGGCCTCTGCAGTGGATTGACACAAAGCACGACTAATGTGAGGATTATAGTCTTGAGTTCATACTCTACCCTCCTGCCCACACACTGACCCTCCAAAACCCTTCGGCTGGGAGAATAAAGTTGATTGAATAAAAAAGCTGAAGCTTCAAAAATATTTAGTCGACTTGCTCAAGGTCCTTGATGGTTTAATTTAAACTAAAGAACAGGTGAGCCGACTTCATATGACCTCTGTTCAGCAGTATAGACCCCGTTTATTGTAGCTAGAAATATCTTAAAGGTCAAAGTTAAAACATTTCAAGTGCCTGATTACCGGCTGGTCCTTGGGGGCCGGGTTTTCCAAACACAGACTCCTCTGCATAGCAGCAATGCTGTGGTGTGGAATGTGATCTTGGCAACGGTTGCCGTGGCAACTGGCCGCCGCAATTCTGGTCATTGTTTCCCGCTGAGGCCTCAGGTGGCTGAAAGGGCCCGACAACAATCAACGATATTTATAACTCCTAATGCACAGCCTTTGAACTGAAGTGGGATATGGAATTAAATTACTACAAGCTAATCTTATTCCACAAGTGCTCCCGGACCAAGTCATCTATTCACCTGTCAAATCAATTTAGAGTCTTGAAAATAGGTGCTCTGGGTACTTACACTATGGGAATTGTACAAAATACATGACCACATGAGGACCGTACCATAGCTTTCAACAGAGGGAAGCTATGCAACCATAATAAACTTCCTCTAGAGGAACTATAGACAATGCCTTGATATTCTGAATGCAGTTTTAGTTCAAAACGCAATGAGGACAATGCATGTTAGTTCTGTAAAAGTCACACTGAGAGGAATATCCCATTTCTACTTTTTTCAAACACAATTGTTGTTCCTTTGAGAATTAAGGGAGCTAGTAATTCACAGCAAATACAATGAACTCAGCGTCTGAGGTACGAAATGATTAATGGAACAAAGAACACAGTCAGTATTCAGACAATTCACATTGCTGAAAAAATATGCTTCATCACAAAGCTCAATTCTCTCAAACACAGTGTATGACCTCAAATAGCTGCTTTACTTCAATTAAGATTATCTAGGATCTAAAACTGACCATGACTGAAACTGAAATGATGATCCATTAAGACAAATATTTATTTGCAAGCTAAATACAATGCTGTGTTGTATCCGCCTCAAACACACACCAGTGCTACTGTACTGAATATATGAACACTAAAAGAGAAAACATTTTGTAGTATTTTGAAACCTACATTTTCCATTGAAACAATACCTAGAAATCAAAATGCCTAAAGTTTTTGTCCCACACAGGCCATTCATTTCAACATTCACATTTGAAAATCCGTAAAATGAAAACTCAGAATGCCTCACTTGAGTTTATACACAGGGATTATAATTTACATTAATGCAGAAACGCTATAAATCCATGGATACTACTGATGGTTCATCCAGATTGAATGTGCGCATCCAGAGGCAAAGCCGGTGGAGATTAAAGACTTGCTTGTAAATGAACCCAGAGAGCAATGAGTTTTACCCAGGGCTGAATGTTTATTAGAAATGTAATACAATGAAAAGGTCAAAAAGACCTTGTCATCAATGTGGACAGAGGTGACACGGTCATATGTTTTTCCTGTGGATGGTGGGTGTATGAATGTGTGACTCACCAACACCATGAGTGACTCACCCATGAGTAGTGACAGCAAAGAGATAGCAGGTGCTTAACATCAAACACTAAAGACTATACATGTAGACTATACCATCAAATGACACTATTTCTAATCTTTCTATTCTAACCATATATGGTCTGTCAGGTAAATGATATTGTGTCACATTATGAATCAATCGACTGATTCTAAAAACTTAACTTTTCTTCCAACCAATACTGAATACGTAGTTACATTCTATGTTTATTATGTATTTGTACATTCCCTGGCACCTTATTTAACCCAAAGAGCTGCAGAATGACTGCAGAAATCGTTCTTGCATTTCACCCTTATATTTCCTTATATTTGATCAGTTTTTAATTATTTCAACACCTGTGCCGAGATTGTTAAGACATCTCTAAGAAATAATTTACCCTGATAGCAACACATACATCAAGGAGACGTCTGCATTTACATCGGCAAGACGTATTTATTTGAGTTTTTGCTGATCTGCAATACGTCTATAGGACGTTTCCTATCAGATGTCAAATAGACGTTTAGAAAATGTCTTTAAGATGTTTAGGATTTAGTATGAATGTAAAACTGACATCTTAAAGATGTTTGTACACAGCAGATGCTTTCCAAATGATGAGATCTTAAACAGACATCTTGCAGACGTACGAGTCCTATCTGGGTACTGTAATTAATTAAAAGATAAGCAATGCTCTGGATCATTCTGTGTTTCTTATCAGAAAACAGGATATGAAATCTAAACAAGATAAACCTCATAGAATCCCCTTTATCACCATTATAACACTGCTTCCTAGAAAGATATGGGTTTATCTGTTATAATTCATCTGATACAATCAAAGCAGCTCGGTTGAATAAAAGAAATGACATTTAACCAATGCATTTGCTGAGTTCATCAATGATAAAGAAGCAATGATGCTTGGAGATGAAAATTATTGTATATCAGCGTATTATTAATCTCGACTGAACTTACCGGCATCATATTGACAAGGACCTCCAGATATTCGATATTCCTTATATTGAAAAATATAAAGACCTTTCCCTGGTCTCAAGAAGTATTTCTTATAGTTGTTTTATATGCAGGTAAATTGTGCACGGATTATCCTCTTCTTTTACGTATCATTATTTTAGATTAGCCTCCTCTGATGTTGTCCGTCAACTTTGTAGCGTTGGTTTATTATAGAAACCTGTTGCAGAATGAACCCGAGATGAACTCGGTAAATACAGTAAAGTAAGTTTCTTATCCGAATCGCTCAGACGTAGGGAACCGCAGACCACTGACAACACCGAACCATTTGTGTAACGTTACGCAGCGATTCGCCTCCGCTCTGCAATATAAGCGACATAAAGATAACGGTCGTCCGCGAACGTCTTGTATCATCTACTGTCCGCTAAGCTGATTGCAGGTCCACATTATATCCGTGCGAGCGAGGTGTTTTCGCTGGATCAACAGACGCAACCCAACCCAAGATGACGCTGCGCGAGATTCCGAAGATCCCCGGCGCGTGCGTGACAAACTCCGCCTCGCGCCGCCCGCGCGCTTCCCGCCCACTTCATCATCAGTATTATCTCTGAGGAGCTATTCAGCGTTCAAGAAACGGTTTGGAGATTTATATGTATTTGCTTTATTTAACGTGCCCCACACACTTTAGAAGCTTTTGAGGTGAATATTGAGGAATATGAAGGACGTCGTAGTAATATTGAACGCGCGCGATAAATGGAAAACCTTGCTGTCGGTACAATACTCGTTTTAATTTCATCCAGTTTCATTGTAAAGTGCAATTATACACAAACTATAACTAACAAAAACTTATAAAATGTCATCGAAACGTTAAGAAATATCCATAATAGATTAGAAATGACCAAGTGTTTCTTTTAAAGTGATCGCTCTGGCTACCTGGCTGAGGTAAAATGTAAAAAAGTCCCAGAAATTATCGTAGGTACTATGTATTTTGGACATGTCATGCCAATATTTGGATATTTTATGCATGCATATGACAATCATTCAGTCATTCACTATATCAAAGTAGGGGGAGACTGGGGTCAATTGTAAAAAAAATAATAATTTACATTTCCCTTCATAACTCACATGAAATACACTATTATCGTTTTATACATGAAACAAATGTAGGTGAACTAATTAATAATACAACTGATATATTTTTACTAATAAGGACAATACTATAATATTAAGTTAAATGCAAGAAGTCAGAGAGTGTTACAATTGCCCCCTTGGGGGCGATTGTAACACTGAAAAATAAGTCATATTAACCCACTGTATCTCAAATAAAACCCTACCTCAAAGTAATCACTTTACTGCTGTAGTATCAATTTTTATTTATATATTTTTTGTATATGGTTCAAATTCTTTTGGATGTCAGGCATCATATGCATTCAAAAAGCAAAAGTCTATTTTTTATTTTTGCAGAAGACAAGGCAACTATTCTAGTGGTAACTAGATTTTAATTATTTAAATGTATATTTTACTCATCAACATTAATCAGCTGATGAGTCAAGAACAGTCTTTAACCAAACTTTAATGAAATTATAGTAGATAGACATTTTAATAGAATAAGATAATGTGGAGGTAATATTAATTGCATTTTTTTTTAAGATTTAAAAGCAACACATTGTTTAATGTGTAACACTAATACTTTTTCAATGTAGTTTCACATTTAAATATGTTCATTTTCTTACAGAAAAATATGTCAACACAGACAAACAAGGTATTTACACTGGGCCATGTGGCTCAGGGGCAATTGCAACACATTGTTACAATTGCCCCATGCTAGGTAGACACACCTATATAGCATAGGTTGTTCAATGTTAATTTTTTTTCAATAACGTAGAGATGAAATGTATGTAAGCTTAAATTCACAGTCATCTAAACTAAACAGGAGAAGAAAAATACTGTACATCCAAAAAGTAACTTTTATACCTCAAAATCAGTATTTTGTTGAAAACTTCTGCTGAGGGGAAATAATCATGCTCCTTTTCCACAGGCAGAGAGAGAATCCTACTGAGCATGTGCAGATTAAGTGTCTTCACTCTAGTTTGTTTCTGATTGGAGGAATTGAGTGTGTTACAATTGCCCCCGGTCTGGTATTACCATATGACACCATCCCTGTTTTATAGTGCCACCGTAGTACGTTTTTGTAAGGATCATAATTTATTTGGCTTTATCAGGTAAAACCTTGAATACAGATGGAATATCCCTGCTGAAAAAAAAACAGCTAAAACCAACCTAAGATGCTTTGCTGGTCTTAGCTGGTCTCCCAGCCTGGCCAAGCTGGTTTATCTGGTTGGCCAGCTCTCCCAGCCTGATCAGCTAAGACCAGCCTGACCAGTTTAAGAAGTGGCCAAAACCCCTCTAAAACCAGCCTGCTGACCAGCTAAAACCAGCCAACCAGTTTAGGCTGGTCTCAGCTGTTTTTTTTGTTTTTTTTAATCATCAGACATTTGACAAGTATATACTGTGTTGACTAGACCTTCCAGACCTGACCTACTCGGGTAAGGGCTGGTACATCAGTGGCTAGTCTGTAAGACCCCTTAATTTATCTTTCTTTACTGTTTCTTTGGTCTTTTCCGATCTCTCTCTCTCAGCATCTTTCTTGACCTTGCAGAGCACCCATGATTGATAGGTTGGGGACAATGTTATGGCAGGTTCCGTACGTTCTAGATTAATGATGTTTGGCTCAGATTTACAGGGATTTGGCTGTAAAACTGCCTCTGTTGAATGAACATCATAGATTTCAGTGCAATTTTCAAAGTAAAAGTTGTCAATAGGTTGTTCAGGATGTAGGACATACTGAATCAGTTTCTTTTCAATACCTTTTTTTGTGCTAATGTTGTGTGTGTGTGTGTGTGTGTGTGTGTTCATTCTGTCCTCTACTGGACAAAAGCAGTTATGACAGATGCCTAACCACTCCCCAAAGTAAGGTCCCACCCACCCTGTTAGTCAATATCCATGGACAATACATCTCTGACAGACATTGCTGATCTAAGATCAGGTTGGATCTGCCTTTTTGTTACTTCAACTTATAATACAAAACTGAGCCAGAAACTGCTGTTCTAGTTTGGCAATCACCAGGGGGCATGACATCAGAGCTTATTTAGTGTGTGCTTCAGACAGGGCGGTGTATGTTGTGACGGATGGTCTGGTCTGGGGTGAGGCAGGTGGAGGGATGTTTTTGACTACCGCCAGATTACACTTGTCCCCGAATGTCCCAAAAACACACAGACAACCTCTGAAGGCTTTAAGTAATTTTAAAGGAATAATATATTGTTTATATATTTGTTTATATGCAGTGCACATATTGCACTGCCAGTATCATTACTGAAACCAACATTTGCAAACATTCAGTTTTTTAAACTTTTTTTTACATAGTTTTCACAGGATCAAAATGCATTTATACTTTTAATTACAAAAGGAAATTAGATTTATTGCACTTGACTAAACCTGTTTTTCATCATCTTAAAAAAGCTTTTATTAATCAACTGCTTTAGTTTTGCAGACATGCAAATTGTATCTACTTCTAGGGTCAGCAAGTTAATATGAAAATATTTATTTTAAGAAATTAAAATAACTAAATAGATAAATAAAACAAAATATTAATATATAAATACATTTTTAATGAAAATGTTTTTTTTTAATGAGTTGATGTCAGAGTGTCCTGCAACATCATCTTCAATACTCTTAAGGTAAGTTTTGATTTACTATATATATATATATATATACTATATTACTATAATACTATATTATGTATGTATATTTTTTTCAGCATCAGCTTAATTTATGAAATATATTACACTGTCAAAACATATACTAAAATAATATTTCCTTAGGTGTGAATAGAACTCTTACTCTTAGAAATTACTATATTTATCACAGTCCACTACATTTAAAGTGCATTTTTGAGGTGACCCTTTAATGGCAACTGTTTACATCTAATTGGTTTGTAAATGTTATTGTGGTTGTTTAGATCAAGATGCTGTAATGTATTGTTTTTTCACTAGATGGCGCTACGAAGCAGCATTTAATACAGTGGAATGGGACATCGCTTTTCATGACGCAGTGAACCTGCGGTCATGGTTGCATGCCATGTGCAGTAACTCACTGCTTCTCGCAAACTGTAATGTGCCATTGTCTTCCACGCAAATTTGTATTAACTAAGTTTGAGACTGCTTGTGATTTCTTGAGTATGTGAAGCCCAAGGAACTTGTTACAATACTGTTGTACGTACATGCTTTAAAACAGGATGAATATTTTCTTCATCATTTACACATAACATATTTCATAATTTCAACAAACTCTGTAGACATGAATGCATTTATTCTATAACCAGAAATGTATTATCGGGGTGCAAAGCAGAGTTATCCTTTCTAAAGAAAAAGTGTCACCCCAATTTCCACAAAGCGTGAACCATTGCCCATTGTGCTTGGTGTGTTTGTGTGTGTGTGTGTGTGTGTGTGTGTGTGTGTATGAGGGAGGGAGTGTCTTTTTATAAATCCAAAAAAACTCATTATAGTTTATGATGTGCACAAGAAAAATGTCCAAGTCAATGATGTGAGTGAATGACTTGAACGCTTGACATCATATATGTTTCCTGATGCACGTTTTGTCTGTTGCCACATGGATAGGACAGCAGAGGAGATGAACAGAGCAAGGGAAGCGAAAAATAATACTGTAGGAGTGTGCTTCTTGTGCTGTTTAATCTCCAGACAGTCCCTAATTTCTTTAATTATCAAGCTGCTAAGCAAACAGAGGCAAGCAGGCAGGAATTGGCCGTCTCCTGCGGCTTACACTTCGGGGGGTCATGTCTAATTTGAGGGAAGACCCGGTCCATCTCTTGCACAGACACATCTAGGGCTAACACACCCCTACCAGCGCGGCCCCTCCCTTTCGACCCTTACCCACACGCACCAGCTTTATGGCAGATGGCGTAGTTCACCCTCCCTGTGAACCTCCATTCTACCCCCACCTTCAGCAGCTTTTGTGCCCCTGTGCATGCAGTGTTTGGGGGCTGCGACAACAACAGCCCTCCCCACTGCTTCCACCCGCCCTGGCCCTGTTGTAAGCAGGATTCAGGATTCATGCATGGTGCGGTGATCAGGTGCCCTAACAGCGTTGTCAGTGCCCGAAAAATCGTTTTAATCCCAGTGGTTGTGCATCAGGGCCTCTGGAGTTCATAGTACTTCCCTGACACACTTGACCGGGTTTGATCCCCAACTATTGGGAGAAACATAGAAACATTCTAAAGGCCTGTTTCAGTTTGTTGCAGTACTGAATGTTTTCAGTAACTTACTATTGACTTGTTTGCATAATTGTTGAGTATAAAGATTGTTGCACAAACTCATAAGTTACCAAATTCTACTTGCCAGTGCTTCCATTGAAGCTCCTTTGGTTTGGTTCCTTTGCCAGGGTTCAATGATAACTCTTCACCACAGCTACATACCTGATGCAGGTAG